CAACCTTTGCATCGTTCCTACTTGAAGGAAAGTGCCGCACTATTTTTAGCCACTCAGAGATAGCCTTTTTGATCTTATTGGCTTAAGCACACCATTCATGAGCAGATAAGATCAAAGAAAGCAACCTACAGTCCCATCCATGCATACTAACTATAAACAACCGATTTGCTTATTCAACAACTCTCTAATTAGTTTAGGCTAGTGGTTTGGGCATTTCATCAAACAGGTTGTGTGCGTCTAGCAGAGGTGCAACTCCATCAGCTATAATGGAGTTTTCCGGCCACCGGAGGTGCAGGTGCACCCCCTTGCGCCTGCACAGGCCCTCCACTGACGGTTCAAATCATTGAAATACAATGTGTGATAGGGCCTACAAAGGTGTCCCCTTCTTCTATTGAATGATCCGTTCAATAATTTTATTTGAGACACACCTTTTAAGGTCCCTTACGAATTTTTTTTGAACAACTCAAAACATTCGAGGTAGTGAAATTATTACGCACATGAATTATTAGCTTCTTCAATCACACACTTGAGTAATTTCGCTCCTGTCAACTCCTCCCAATAGAGAGTTGTGTATTTTATATTTAAATTAGACACAATAATAATTAAGAGATGCTACAATTCAACTCTTATATTATAGCACTAGATATAGACTATATAGTCACTACCCAATGACAAGTCCTACCATTTTTAAGCACGTGTACGGTCAAAAGAGGTCCAAAATCATTTTCATTTTTGAGCCATGACCACCTACTGCAGTTACCTGTCAAATATATATGATGAAGTCAAACTGCTAATCAACATATATATTATGTGTTTGCAGGTTTCTTAAGATTTTTAAGGACAAGCCATGAATCATCACACACAAATTAATGACACATTGTCATTCAGTCCCTTTCGCCTTCTTTATCTTCTAGTGTACTTCTTAGGGCATCGAAATCTTTCCTACATGATAAATTTCAGAATGTTAATCCATAGCAGTTATAATAGGTCTATATATTTATTCCAAATATATCTTAACTCCACGACATATCAACTATTTTGCCAACCCGTCTTAACATGTGGATTAGTAACACCATCTCACGATGTGATTATGTCGCTAAAAAATTTCTCTAATATTATGAGTATATGGAGAAGTAATTATTGGTCTATTCAGAATCACGCTCAAAACGAACACTTCAGTCTAATACAACTATTATAATTGGAAAATGCTTTGATATGCGACAGTTTTTTACCAATTTTTTCTTCTCCATCTATGCAATACATGTCTTGTAAATGACACAGTTGCATTGAAAACTGAGGATGATTTAGAACTAACTGTCACAACCATATTAGTTGAGAAAAAAGTTGAAAACTTTAAGATTATTTTTTGTTTTTTAATACAAGCTATATCGAAACTAGAAGCTCCGGTGCAAAGTAAAAATGTCTTTAAGTTGCAAGAAGCCCTTTACTGACCAATTCATAATCGAACAATCCAAAATGTTTTGGGGAAGGTGTTCGTAAAAGTTGACAGATGCTCAGTGACTTCAAGGACGGGGCTGGACTTGACATGTTGAGTATTACGTGGAGCCTGTACCACAAACATAAGACAGCTCAGGGCCGCGTGGGCCAATTGAGGGTACAGCCATGGGATGCAATGAGAACCGTCCATGTGGTTAGGTGGGGCATGCGTCCAAAACGCAGACAGGTGACCACACGGGGGACCTGCATGGTTGAAAGATCTTCTTGTTTGGACACCGTATCTTGGGCCCACCACACTTATCTTCTGCTACGAAACATTCCAGAATAGAAAGAAGGCAATAATTGTTTAACAGTGATGCTTGGTGGGTCTGATTTTTTTGGTTGACGTTGAGATTTACAACCAGTCAATACCAAGAACTGTTGGGAACTTGGGATTTAACCCAACATTCCCTACTTGTTTTCTTTAATTTTTATTTTATACACACATGGTTTCGAGTGCATGAATAAATAATGACAAATTTTGTTATGAAAAAGATAAATAACATGAAAAACTAATCTGAAAACATTTGGAATAAATTAGGAATGAGAAATATCTTTCTCACGTCGTTAATTGCGATGAAAATCATACTAATACGAGAGTGTGATAGAACAGTCTTTAATGGATTGAAATCTCTCCTAGAATTCCATAGAAATCTCTGAAGTATTAGGAATCTGTTTGAATATCAAAAGTGTATACTCTTTGAAGAAGAATATTCACCTAGGTCACGGGTGGATCAAGGTAACTTGTTCTCCAAACTAACCCTTGTAAAACTTCCATTTTGACGAATATTCCCTATAGTCGATGTGTGTGTGTGAGAGAGATTTGATATATTCTATGGCGCTTGGCTCTTTGCTGAAGAAGTTTGGTTGGTGATTATAGGCAATCTGGGATGTTAGTTATGTTATGTCCTCTTTGCTCATGAAACATGTGCGCCTTGGGTTATTTCCACCAAAACGTCCCTTCATTTCCCTTTTTGGTAAGATCATGAACATGAATCTGAACTTTGCCTGACAAAACACTAGTACAGAAGTAGGGTCAATAAAAATGTTCCCATTTTGATTCTCTCCCGCATGGTAGGTTTTTTTCCTTCTCATTGCATTGAATTTTAGAGTCTCTATCTGTAACTGTATCAAAAACATCATCAAGCATTATTCACAGTTGATTTTGGGTAGATGTATGTATGGCATCAAATTTTAAAAGTGAAAAGAACATGATCATTTACTAAGAAGAGAGTTTGAGGCAAGCTTTGAGATTAAGGCGAGATTAAGGAAGGGATTTATTTTAAAATTTCATATTACTATAACATTGTATGGGGAACTTCATAAAATATTTATAAACTGCAGTATAAAGCTTTTTGGTAAAAATGAGAGAAGGTCGCCATATGAACTTTGGCTTTGATACTCTTTATCAGTTAAGCTACAAGTCCCCATAAATTCTAAGAGATATTTCAATTGAAAAAATTTAATAATATTTTAGTATTAGGTAAATATGTGTTCTTTTAAAACTTAAATTAGTGAGATTTTAAGAAAGAACTCATCACCACCGTTGTCACTATCACTACTACTACAACTCTTATTGCCGCCATAGTTCTTGTAATAGTGGCTACTTTCACTTCTGCACTCAACATGTTGCCTTCATTTTATAGACACCACAACCACTGTGGTCACCATTGCCACCCTCATGGGCCGGCACAACCGTCTTTGCTACCATTGTTTTATTGGGTATAAAACCGTCATTACTATCTCTTATCACCACCACTATCACGACACATTTATATTTTCATTCATTCTCTCATGATAAGGAAGAAATTTCACATTTTATTCTATCATGTTGGATAAGTTAATCTTGTAAAGAGGTTGCTATCATGAGCCATCTCAAGTGTAATGGCATATGTGTGGTGAGAACACAAATCCTAAATTTAAACATCAAAATATAAAAAGGTTATAGATCAAGTGGTTAGAAGCATTTATTCATCTAGGAGAAGTTCTAGATTTTATCTATCAATTTAAATCTTATATCTTCCAAAAGTATAAATATTTTTTTCTTTACAACATGATATGAACTCACAAAACCAAAAAAGAACTATAAATGTATATTATATAATTGAAAATATAAAATTTAGTCGGCACAATCACTTTAATATCATATTTATATATAATATAATATATATTCTAAACATGTAGGGTTCGGGTTGGAGATTTTACCATCCCCGCCCCTCCTTGAACACCATACGCAAAAAATTCTCCGTACCCATCCTCATACCCGTTTTTTATTCTTCATACCCGACCTATACCCGACCTATTAGGGTCGAATTCCTACGAAAACCCTTAGCTGTGAGGAAAATTGCCATCCATCATCATAGAAATAAGAATCTGACAAATAATGAAGACACTCGAAACTAATGCAAATTGAAAGACAACTTGTCTCATAATTAGACCTTGATGATCAACGACATACAACAAGTAATCAAGTGGCTTTATAAATAATGGTACAAAAGGACAACACACTCTGTGACAATTAGTCTAGTCACTTGCCTATTTAGCATATCAAGTGGCGGGAAATGTCTTCCAATATGAACCGTCGACGGAGAGAGAGATTACATCAGTTGAAAAATGCCTAATGACCCATTAAATATTGTAAATCTTTTTACAGCTAATGATGAAACAAAAGTATATCTCACTTAATTGGTTAGAATATATATTTTTAATTTCTATTTTCTAGTATTATTTTGGGCTTGAAATGGACAGGTGTTTGGCTCATAATGGTTAATGCAACAGCAGCCTAGAAACTTGGACTCTGATGGGTGAGTCCAGTGATCTGTCCCATAATATATATTTTTTTATTAAAATTTAAATGTATTTATTTGCATTATTTTTTTTGTAATTTTGCTTATGGTGCAACTATAAATACAGTACTTGCAACTCTTCTCGTGAGGGCTCACAAGCCAATAAAGCTGATCACTTTCTTTCAAAATCAATTCACGCATTTCACTCCACTATAAAATCTGACTTCCACTTCCCGTTTGATAAAATCCCTACTCCGCTGATCACTTCCAAACCACTCCCAAAATCTCGCTACTTTATATAGTTCAGTCATAGAGCTCAAAACAACACATTTTGGTCTGTTCACCTAGCCACCCTGATTTTTGTTTTTTTCCATTTAAATCTCAAAATTTTGGTTTTTGGCCTTCTGGGTACCTGAGATTCTACTTTTTAGGAGTATCTGTGATCTGGGTATCTTCAGTTTTGGCTCAAGATCCATTGCCAACTTTTCTCAGATTTAGCTGTTTTATTCTTGGAGCTCTGTTTTGGGTTTTATGGTTTTAATAGTGTAACTCCATCAATGACCTTGAATATGTCACTGACTCTAACTTAATAATAATTATCTTTGTGTGATCTATACTTTACTTGGTTGCTTAGATAATAGATCACATCTCTTACTTTACTGGGGTTTGGGTTCAGTTTTGAGTGCACATTTTCTGATCTGTTACCATTAAACTAGAATGGATTCATGCTGTGTGACCTTGAAACCAAACACCCATTTGAGAAAACCAAGTGGTCTTTGTAATGGTGATGGTGGGTTTTGGGGGGAGAGGGTTAGAGGGAGCCTTAATAACAAGATTTGGGACAATCGGTTGACAAAGGCTTTGAGAGCTGAGAAGAGGGCCAAGAAGGTGAAATCTGGAGTTGTTCTTTCTGTTCTTACATCAAATAACACCGAGGCTGTGGTAAGTTAATATCCTTTTCAGTTACCAATTTGATATTTATTGAAATGAGCATTTTATCTGTGTCTAACTTATCTTCAAGTTCTGTAATTTATATGATCACTGCCATTTTTGTATGTTATTTATTTATTTTGGGTATTAATTTGTGTTTGTTGATCTAAAATTGCAAAGTTTGTCACATTCTTTTGTTGTTTTCTTTACTTTATTTTTTATTTTTATGAATTCTGTTTTCTTAAATTTGTGTTCAATGTCAGGCTGTGCAAATGCCACCTATATATAGACGGAGAGTAGACCCCAAGAATGTAGCTTCAATCATTTTAGGAGGAGGAGCAGGGACTCAGCTCTTTCCTCTTACAATAAGATCAGCAACACCTGCAGTAAGATAAATTATGTTTATAGATATATTGGATTTTGCTGATTTGTTTTAGAAAAATTTGGTTGTATGATCCTTCATTAATAACCATACGCGCACATGATTCATCAAAGCTTGTGATTCAATATCGCAACTGAAGTTGTATTATGTATTGATTTGGTATGATTGCAGGTCCCAGTTGGAGGATGCTACCGTCTTATAGACATTCCAATGAGCAATTGCATCAACAGCAATATAAACAAGATTTTTGTACTGACGCAGTTTAATTCTGCTTCTCTCAATCGTCACATTGCTCGCACCTATTTTGGAAATGGTATCAACTTTGGGGAAGGATTTGTAGAGGTAAATGAATCCTTTAATGCAGATTAATACCTGTATCATTTTGTGATTGGTCTGTTATTAAATTAGTTGTAGGCTGATAATTATGTAAAGATGCTGCAAAAATCAGTTTTCAAACTGATAGTTAGTCTGATAGGGAACCTTTAGTTGTAATTAATATTAAATGAAGTAGTTCTTGCTATATAAGAAAGAAGAAGAGGTCCTATATTTAAAAGGATTTAATCATTAAAAAAAAACATCTGGTCCAATGTGTTATTTCTTTTTCAAGTTCCTTGATTATTTTGTGACTCAAAGCACACTTCAAATGCAGATTCTGGCAGCCACTCAAACGCCTGGGGAAGCAGGAATGAATTGGTTCCAAGGAACAGCAGATGCTGTGAGGCAATTTATATGGGTATTTGAGGTGGGTAAAGAAGTTTGCAATAATGGTATTGTTTTAAAATTAAAGAAGAGGGGAACTGATAGTAATAATGGGTCTGTATGTTGTTCCTTGGTTTGCATAACTTGATTTCGGGTACAATGTACTGCATTATTTCTTGTAGGATGCCAAAAACAGGAATGTTGAGAATGTACTGATTTTGTGTGGCGATCATCTTTACCGAATGGATTATACGGACTTTCTGCAGGTATGATAATTTCCCTTCATATAGGACTTGTTTGTTGTTAAATTTTTCTTACACATTTTCTATGATATACAGAGTCACGTTGATAGAAATGCTGATATTACAATTTCATGTGCCACAGTGGGTGACAGGTCTGTTTTTTTTTCTCCTTTTGGCTTTACAAGACTTTGAATGTAACTATTGTTTTTTATTTTATTCTCTTTCATTGGCTGTCGATAAAGTGTGTTGGTTTACCATAATTCACAAAATCTTAAGTGATTAGGATGTGAGTCAACCATTGTTTTATATTCTGACACCTCTCCCATGTATCGAGTTTTCTCCACGACTAGAGTTCCCGTATGTAAAATGCAACATAAATTGGGTAGTTACAGTTGTACGGATTTGATCACAGGATCTTGGCTTTCTATTGTGTTAGATTTTGTTGTTGGTTTAAAACTGCTTACAAAAGTTTAAGCTGTTGTGGGGTGGGCCAACTGTTATTATATAGTGTGACAATTGCAAATTGACAAGTAATGGAACATCAATCACATAGTAGTTTCCTCTGGCACATTCTGTTTTCTTAAGCTAACTTATGAGGCAAAAAATAAAGATTATGTCAATGATATCCCCCGACCCCAAAATCCTCGTTCTTATAATTTCCTAGACATCTCTTCTAAATTCCATCTAAAGTTGAACGCATGCTTTCCAGCCGTGCGTCGGATTATGGATTGGTGAAGATAGACAGCAGAGGTAAAGTCATCCAGTTTACTGAAAAACCAAGGGGAGCTGATCTAAAAGCAATGGTAAGCAAGAAAATCCAGATATTATGCTAATTAGATTATTTTTCTCACTTTCAATGAGGTTCAAAATAACTTTTGCATCCTGTTATTGAAATGCTCATTTGGAGGAACATAACAGACTGATGGTTTTCTCCATTACTCTTTTACACTATTTTCCAAGTTCATCTTATTTAAATTCCCTATGTCTTAACATTACCCATGTATTTAGACTTACATGACTGCATTAATGAATAATATATCTTAGACATAAGTTTTACCCTTCTTGGTTGACATTCTGCAGCAAACAGATACCACGCTTCTGGGATTGTCCCCACAAGATGCCATGAAATCCCCATATGTTGCATCAATGGGAGTTTATGTATTTAAGACAGAAATTTTGCTAAATCTTCTGAGGTGGAGATATCCAACATCAAATGACTTCGGGTCTGAAATCATTCCTGCAGCAGTGAGAGAGCACAAAGTTCAAGTAAGATAACCATTACAGTTGAAGTGTCTTCATCTATGAGTTTTTCCCTATCCATAAAGGATTGAAGGAAACAGAAGAGTGAAGCCTCAACTGAAAGCCTCAACTGAAAGACCATAAAATTTGAGCCATTTGCATGAACAATTCATGATTCTTCATATTTTCTTCTTACCAATTTATCTGTTTATGCTCAAATATTGAAGAAAATGTCTGTATAATTTGCCTTTGCTTTTACAGGCATTTATGTTCAGAGAATACTGGGAGGACATTGGAACTATAAAGTCTTTCTATGATGCTAACTTGGCCCTCACCAAAGAGGTAGATTTCATTGTTTTTATAGGGGCAACATTTCATAATTCCATTTCCCTTCAGTTCATTTCCTTGAGGACGTCAAACATTTAGACATGGCATACACAAAAGGTTCACGTCACCCTCCAAAAAAAACAAAAACAAAAACAAAAAGGAAAATGAAAAAAGAACAAACGTGCCTTTCCATGCTATTTTCTGGGGCACCCTGTTATTCTAGACTATAACATGTAAGCACAGAGAACATATGATGAATCCCTATAATTGTGTAGAGTTCTTAAATAATGTCTTAATATCAATTCTGTGAAACAAAGAGCAACATCATTTTCTTTCCCTGATGTGTGATTAATGTCCGAGAAAATTACCTTCTCTTTTTGCAGTTCGCGAAGTTTCATTTCTATGACCCAAAGACACCTATCTTCACCTCTCCTCGATTCTTACCACCAACCAAGATCGACAAGTGCCGGGTATGCTAATGTACTTAGGCTCATATTGGAAACTTCATTGAGGTGATCTGCTTCTCATGCATTAGTTTTGTATTGCAGATTGTGGATGCAATAATATCACATGGATGTTTCTTGCGAGAATGTAGTGTCCAGCATTCAATTGTAGGTGAACGTTCACGATTGGATTATGGTGTTGAGCTGAAGGTGAATTTTCATGGTTTTCAAAGACAGAAGTTGAAAACTGGACCGGTTTGTTTACTTTCATTCTGATGACTATGTTTATTGAGTTGTTACCTCTTGCTACAGGATGCTATAATGATGGGTGCAGACTATTACCAAACTGAAACTGAAATTGCATCTCTGCTTGCGGAGGGGAAGGTCCCAGTTGGTATTGGAAGGAATACAAAGATTAGGTAATTAGACTCACAAATTGAGAAACATTTCTTAGCTTTACGTGGAATGTAGAATGCCGAGGTTTCTAATTATGTCTTTATGATTCTTCCTTGAAGGAATTGTATAATTGATAAGAATGCAAAGATAGGGAAGGACGCAGTGATCGTGAACAAAGATGTAAGCATGGCTTCCCATGGTCTAGTCTCAATTTTTTGGGATACATTGATATTTTCATTTTACCTTTTAACCAAACTTGACTGGGCCAACTTTTTATTGAGTGAAATATATACCATCATATTCAATCTTATGGTCGTCTATATTCTCTGGTTCTGTAGGGGGTTCGAGAAGCAGATAGGCCAGAAGAGGGATTTTACATTCGTGAGGGAATCACAATTATTCTGGAGAAGGCAACAATACAAGATGGCATGGTTATATGATGGATCTTAACATCTCAAGTACTTTTCAACACAGTTGAAAAATGGTGGTGGGAAAGAGACTTGCAAACGTTTGGATCTTAACATCTCAAGTGCATTTGGCAGCTGAGGGGTATAGCTTCTGCAGCATTTTGCCTTTTAAACTAGAAAAATCCTTGAGTACTTGTAAAATGGAGTTTATAAGCTCATAAGAGTTCTGGAGTCACGAGATGTACAAAAATAAGCTACAGCAGCTGACCCGCCGCCGGCTGCTTTCATCCTTCATGGAGGTGATATATCCATAAGAACCTATGAACTTTCTGTATCAATATTGATTATGAATAATGTTTGAAACATAGTTGTATCTCAGAAAAAGAAAAAGCATTTTATTTAACTTGTGGACGTGTTCATCTCTGATAATGTTGGTTCAAAGAGAAGCCACCAGCAGCCTATAGCAATGCAGAGTTAACAGGAATCAGAGAATTCCAAATTCTAGCAGTGTTTTTTCATATTATAAAGTTATCAGTAGGCTATGCCTTTTGTAGTAATAATTCCAAGTTCCAAAGGTACAGTTGAAACCCTTTTCTATTATAAAGCTTTCATCCTTTCAATATCTATCCCATCCCCCATTTTCATATTGCAATATGATAATTCAAGTTTTAACACTTCTTTTATTCATGTATTGTAAGGAAATATTTTTCGCAGTTTACTGTTGTTGTATTCATAGAAAAATTTATTCATAACTGTCTACAATGTCAGGGAACTCAGAAAAACAACCACCATGATCAAGGGTTTTCAAATTTTGGTTGCCAAATGATCTGGCAGGCCACAATACACTACCTTGGTAGTGTGGAAATGAATTCTATCATATTAATTGGACACAAATCTTGGAGTTTCTTTTAGCATATGTAGCATTACTCTTAAATAAATCTCCCAATCTATAATTTACTGGCTTATTTCGGATCAGGAAAGAAAAGACCCTTCTCTTTAACAATGTGTACAGGTATATATGAAAGAAGGAAGTTACCAGCCACACGACAAAAAAAACAAAAACAAGGGTTTGTAACTCAATTGGTTAACTAGCATCCGAGGTTTTAGGTTCGATTCCTGCTCCCTAAATATCGCTTGTATAAAAAAAGAGAAAAATAAATAGAAAAGATGAAAATTGAAGGAAGAAAATCGTACCACAAAACTGAGTCTTTAGAACGCCACATGGCAATACAAACTAACACTTGGAAGGTTTGCACTCTTGACATCTGTCTTTGGGGCAGGAGGAACTCAAAAACAGATCACGCAAATACAAGAAAGACAGAAAGGGAACCTCAAAAACAGTTTAACAGCCAATCCAACTTCTAACTCAGACAAAAGAAAGAAGATGCAGCAAATAAAGGATGTAATGAAAAAATCAGAAGGTGGAGTGGCACAGAAGAAAGAGAGCCTTGTTTCCAACCTTAAAACTCAAGAAAACAACCAAGAAATTGATTCAGGCTCTGCCCTCCAACACTTTCTTGATAACATCCTCATCAGTTCTATCCCTGGAATAAAAAACTCACCCGGTAAGCATCATATAATTTCCAATGTTCCATTATCTTTGTTTTCGGTTTGTTTTTTGAATTTGGTTACCTTAAAATCCCATTATGAAAATAATGTTTTTTAATTTTTTCTGTCATAAAATGGATGCAATGCAAAGTTTTGGAATTGAAAACTGGGGATAGTGTAAGAGATGCCATTCATTTGATGCACGAGAAGAATGTGTGTGGTGCACCAATTACTGACAATACCAAAGGAAGCTTTTCGGATCCTTATATTGGTTTCATTGATTTTGCAAGTATTGTTCTCTGGTTTTTTGAGGTAAGGATGTTCATTTTTGTAGATTTTAACGTTTTAAAAGCTTCCCCAGATGAACATTTGTGTAGTGTTATTTACACAATTATATATATAACAAATGCTTCTCACGAAAATTTTATTTCGAGGAATGTGAGAATTGCAGAAGAGACATTGCAGCTGAAGAAATTGGCAACTATGGTGTTTTTGACATGCTTGAACAGCATCCTCACATTGGCCAAACCAAGGTTTTTATTTTATATTTTTTTGCCCTTTTAGTTATTTTTTGTTTTATTTAATATGGTAAGTAGACATAGAAGATAGAACAATTCCATGTAAGCCAAAAAGTCCATTTAGAGAAATACAAGTCCATAACACTTAACATCTTCACTTCATTATATTAGCCCTTTTCTTTTTCTTTCAACTGAAAAGTTTTATGTTTAACAATGTTGATGCCATGGTTTTCGAATCTCTAAAGTATAACCTGCCAAGCATTTTGACACACGATATTATTCGGATTCTTTAATCCCTTTGTTGTATTTTAGAACCTTGAAGTACTATTTTAATGCAGATTGTTAAATCTTTATTTCGTTATGAGCACTTCTGTTTAATTCTGATAGATTGGCGAGCTGGCTAAGTCGTTTCTATGGAATTCGTATTTCCCTGTACACTTGGATGAGACACTCTTCCATGTTCTGCTGCTACTTTCAAAGCATCGGCTGCAAGTTGTGCCTGTCATAGAGAGAACCAGTTCTAAGCTCATTGGTTTTATTTCACAGGTATATTTATCTCTAAATTCTACTTCATAAATGGTACTTTTGAGAAGCAAATATGGCCATTAGCAGCAGGCCCAAATGAGAATCTGTAAAAGTAACAAGAAATTGAGATGATCTTTGGCGGTTTTTGTTTAAAGCTTACAAAACAACACTAAGCTTAAGTTCTTGATTATCTAATATGCATGTATAGCATGGAGTACTTCTTCTGCTGCTTCAATCAAGTGGTTTAGACTGGTTTGATAGCATTGCTGACAAGCCTTTATCAGAGTTCCGGTATGTCAACCCGTAAACTGTTCTTTTCTTTTCTTCATCTTTTTTTTTAGGGATAAATCAAGCTATAAGAGTAGTTTACAATTGAATAGTAAATTCTCAATTAGTTTGGAATTGCATCTCTACGGATGTTTCAATACAGGTTTGGTAATGAAGAGCATGTTGTACATGTATATGGAGACCAAAGCATGACCGAAGCTCTTCATGTTCTATGGAAAAGCCAAAATGGTGCAGTTGCTGTCACAGATAGGAAAAGTAAGAGGGTCATTGGTAGCATAAGCAAATGCGATATCTACCTCCTTCTAGAGAATCTACCTCGCAATATAAAGTAAGTTACATCCATTTTTTCGTTCTCCCTTCTATGTTTTGTTTTGTAACCCATACTTTTCGTTTTATTTTTCGCTATTGTTTTTTAATAAAAGAGAGACAAGGAGGAGAGAGGAGGTCCCCAACTCCCAAAATTCAAACTGATTGCCGACTATCTCCAACTTAACCATGTTGTGGAGTTCAGATATTGAATTTTATCTCAAAAGTTTTATATGCAATGAGATATGCTACTTAAAATTTCCAATGTCAAACAGCCATTTATCTAATTAATGAACAATTCCTAACTTCGCCGTTCTGTTCTCCCCTCTTCTTCTAGTTGACGAAGAAAAACAGTAAACAGAACAGAGATATGCATCTAAAGGAGTTGTTAGTTTCTCATGTCCACTTCAGTGTAGCATTTGATATGCAAATTATATATATAGGCACACATAAATGTCCAGACCCTTGCCAGTTGTATCTTAATAACAGCGTGAACATGACAAGATCATGGGCTTGTTTGGTGCCTAGGATTAGATTGGATTGGATAACTCATTGGAGCTAAGGTGTGTTAAAGGAAGAAAAGAAGAAATTTTAACTTAAGATATGTAATATTACATGTTTAATTTGATGTTTAATCATATAACTGCAGAAGTCTAACTGTGGAGGAGTTCGTTCACATGGAGAATGATGATCATAAAACAGTCTCTGATCCAACAATTGAAAGAGACATTGGGGCTCTTCTCTCAGCTGGCTTTCTGCGCCTCAAAAACAACTTCGCGCCAAGAATGGACTCACCGGTCACCAACAAGAAAACCGAAACACTGAAGCAAGCCATGAGAAACATGGCAGACACAAAAAGCAGTTTCAGCTTCTTGGTTGATGAATCAAATCAGGCCACAGGGATGCTCACATTGAGAGATATGATCATCCACTTTGCTCCACCATGTATAGATTCAAGCATCCATGGTTGTGGGTTCTTTGAATCTGCTCTGGAGCAGACTGGTTGCCATGTCAAAAATGGAACCATAATCTCTGATAATTGATTGATTTGACAGTGTTTCTAATGTTAATCTAACCCCAATATTTTTGCTAAAAAATTGAAAAAAAACTCAATATGCCGACTTAGGCTCTGCATTATTGCTTAGCTTTTGGCACATTGTGAGAGCCTATCAGTGTATTTTAGACTCTACACTGCAACCATGGGTGCAGGAACACGTGATATGCTTGACATCTAGGACCAGTATCACACCTCTGAATGACATTATCTGGTTCCTCTGCTTCTACTTTTTCTTTTCATTGCTTTGGAATTTAGAGCTTTATCTGTTGTCAAATTTCCAGCTGAATATATGGTGTAGTTCGTGGATCATTACAAGTATGTATCCCATAATAGCCTGCTTATGTTTTCTGTACTGAGATTTTTTTGGTGTCTAAAGCTACGTAGTTCGAGATTTTAAGTTAAGCGGGGATGTAGATCCTCCACTTGGATTTTCTTTGTTAAGATCTGCTCGACTCATATAATAAGTTGTCACTTAAAAAAAAACAGAAATCAAAATGTTACCAAATTGACACATTGCATATACTAGTAAAATAAAAAATAAGAAGAAAATCACTTTCACACAATCTTTTTTTTTCTTCCTCTTCTGTGGTCCTCTGTTTGGTCGAAGGACAAACTTTTAGCACTAGAGGTGAGTGTGTGCTGGGTCACTAATAATGGCGTGGCAATCTTATATTGGAAGTCAAATAAATTTTGGATAAGTCTGATAAACGCCCACCAAAAGCACACAGAAATATATTCAACCTTTCCAGTACCGCAAACATTTCAACCTCAAATTCAATTTGAAACATCAATTTCATACAATGAACCCACCACAGCATTTTAATCTCAATTGTGTCCACCAATTTCAAAGTTTCAATTTCATACTATGCTCTGCTGCATGATTGGGCACGTCATTATAAGCTCCAAAAATGGCCCTGTCCACACCCAAACGAGTTTCACGAAATGGACGGCCAGAAAAAAAACAAAAAAAAACATTACTTTCATGCATATCGTTGTAAATGTCCATTTCCAGCTCAGTACAGTACAACAATAATAAGGCAAATGCAGGTTAGGTTAGGTTAGGTTAGGCCAGGTGAGTTGTCCAAGATTTTGAGTTCCTCTTTTACCTAAGTTTGAATTTCTCTCTCTCTAGCAATTATAAGTCTTGAAATTATGACTTGATTAATCAATCATACGAAAATAGAGGATCTCAAACCTCTACATTTAGAATTCGTGCATTTACTTGCATTTCACTTAATCTAAGCCATTGTAATAATGTAACGGCTTAAAACACATTACATATCAACCGGTAAAGATTAGTTTTAAAAAAAGAAAGAAAAAAAGAAGGGATATTTGTTGAAATGTCACCTGAACTTATACATCAGTTTCAATTTGTCACCTGAAAAAATAATTTAAGTGAAATGTCACCTGAAATTTTCAAAATCCATGATTTGTCACCTGAGTTTAACATCATCTAATTTTCCATCTATTTTCAAGGGTATTTTAGTCTTTTCATTTTCAAGGATATTTTTAAAATGGAAAAAATTATTATTAAAAAAAATAAAGCTTAAATGTAAAAATGGATGGGGATTAAATGTGAAAAGATATATAATTTTTTATAATTTTCAAGGGTCTTTTCATAATTTTTTTATAATGATTTTTCCATTTTAAAAATACTCTTGAAAATAAAAAGACTAAAATACCCTTGAAAATAGTTGGAAAATTGGATGATGTTAAAGTGAGGTGACAAATCATGGATTTTGAAAAATTCAGGTGACATTTCACTTAAATTTTTTTTCAGGTGACAAATTGAAACTAAGGTATAAGTTCAGGTGACATTTCAATGAATATCCCAAAAAAGAAAGGGTATTGACGATTACTAACTGCCGTTATCTCCCTGCCTCTCTCCCACAGTGATCAGGCCCTCCATCTCCTCCCTCTCTGTTTCTCCTTCTCTTCATCCATAATAATTCTTGCTTATCAACTAAGGTAATTAGATTTGTTCTAAACTTCTAAAGATAAATGTCTTATGTATGACTGCGGGAAACATATGCCTTTGGATGAGAGCTGATCTCGTTGATACTATTCCAGAGTCCTACATGGCTTGAACTACTCCTGAAGCTGCTCTTACGACTTCATGATGGGAGGGACAGACCGAGATAACGGCAGCTAAGCCAATGTTGAAAGCAATAAAATATTTAGAAAAAAATAAAAAAAATAAAACTCTACCATTTGACATGTCATATTTTAAGCCATTATATTATTATAATGGTTTAAAGAATTTTTCTCTAATGCGGACGTCTGTATATTGTTAAAGTCCGATCATCCCCTCGACACCTTATTTTTCTGCAGTTAGATTGCATTCCTTCAATTCCAGGTGGTCCCCAATTTGTACATATAAACAAAAACATGTTGCAAGAGACGTGAGAGCAACCAATGGGAGTGTTTTCTTCTTCTACAACTCCACTTTCCCACATGTCCTTTATGTGCTTTCTTCTTCTGCATCTCATCTGCACGTTCCTAAACCTGTGATTGCTTTTACATAAATTATTTATATTGGCAAATTGTAGACTACTTGGAATTTCAGGAATCCAATCCACCTGAAAAAACAAGCTGTGAAAGGGATGACTGGATTTTCAAAGCATGCGGACGTCCGAATTAGAGAAAGACTCATGGTTTAAATTAAGTGAAATATGTATAAATGCACGAACTCTAAGAGCACCTCTAGCGCCCAACCCAAATTGGGTGAAAGGCTGCCAGAGAGAGCCCGAGATGGCTCCAGCGCAGGGCCCGTAGCCCGGTTTCATGGTGGGTCCCACGAGCCCGAGGAAGCCCAAGAGCAAGTCTTGCCCGGGCTGAAGCCCGAGTTTGGTGACGTCAGCGCTGGCGTCACGTTGACGTCACCACCTGACAGCTCCAACGGGCGTTTGCCATGTGGCGCGACGGGGACTCTCGGATGGCTTTTTTCCAGAAATTCCACGGTCCTCGTTTTTTTGGCTAAAAAATTGTAAAAAAAATCGAAAAAATTCTGAAATTTTTTTAAAAAAATACCCAAAAATTATGTATTTTTTCTCTATAAATACCTAACCATTTTATTTACTTTCCACACTAAATCTTCATACAATTTCTTCTCCATCCAATATTTTTTACTCTTTACTCACATTATTCACTTTCCACACCAATTCTTCATACAAACTTTTCTCCTTCCAATATTTTTTTATCTCCACTCACATTTTTCACTTCCACACCAATTCTCCATACAAACTCTTCTCCTTCCAATATTTTTTACTCTCCACTCACATTTTTCTACTACTTTCCATTTGTATAAAAAAACGAATGGCATCTTCTATTGAAGAATTTTTCTCTAATGCGGACGTCTGTATATTGTTAAAGTCCGATCATCCCCTCTACACCTTATTTTTCTGCAGTTAGATTGCATTCCTTCAATTCCAAGTGGTCCCCAATTTGTATATATAAACAAAAACATGTTGCAAGAGACGTGAGAGCAACCAATGGGAGTGTTTTCTTCTCCTACAACTCCACTTTCCCACATGTCCTTTATGTGCTTTCTTCTTCTGCATCTGCACGTTCCTAAACCTGTGATTGCTTTTACATAAATTATTTATATTGGCAAATTGTAGACTACTTGGAATTTCAGGAATCCAATCCACCTGAAAAAACAAGCTGTGAAAGGGATGACTGGAATTTCAAAGCATGCGGACGTCCGAATTAGAGAAAGACTCATGGTTTAAATTAAGTGAAATATGGATAAATGCACGAACTTTAAGAGCACCTCCAGCGCCCAACCCAAATTGGGTGAAAGGCTGCCAGAGAGAGCCCGAGATGGCTCCAGCGCAGGGCCCATAGCCCGGTTTCATGGTGGGTCCCACGAGCCCGAGGAAGCCCAAGGGCAAGTCTTGCCCGGGCTGAAGCCCGAGTTTGGTGACGTCAGCGCTGGCGTCACGCTGGCGCCAGTGCACGGTAACTCAAATTTTTTTACGGTAAAAAAATTTGACTTCCGTGCGCTGGCGTTAGCGTGACGCCAGCGCTGACGTCACCACCTGACAGCTCCAACGGGCGTTTGCCACATGGCACGATGGGGACTCTCGGATGGCTTTTTTCCAGAAATCCGACGGTCCTCGTTTTTTTGGCTAAAAAAATTGTAAAAAAAATTGAAAAAATTCTGAATTTTTTTTGTAAAAATACCCAAAAATTATGTATTTTTTCTCTATAAATACCTAACCATTTTATTTACTTTCCACACTAAATCTTCATACAATTTCTTCTCCATCCAATATTTTTTACTCTTTACTCACATTATTCACTTTCCACACCAATTCTTCATACAAACTTTTCTCCTTCCAATATTTTTTTATCTCCACTCACATTTTTCACTTCCACACCAATTCTCCATACAAACTCTTCTCCTTCCAATATTTTTTACTCTCCACTCACATTTTTCTACTACTTTCCATTTGTATAAAAAAACGAATGACATCTTCTATTGAAGTCGGAGGCTCATGGTCAACGAATGAAGATATTGCGTTGTGTCAATCTCGGGTGAACATTAGTCATGACCCTATCACGGGCAATGAGATGAAGTTCCATCACATGTGGAGCAAAATTCATGGAGAATTTTGTCAAAGATCGGGTTCTATTCGGACCGAAATGGCGTTGTCTAGTAGATGGAAACTTCTGAATAAAGAGTTAGGGAAATGGAGAAATGCCTTGACAAAAGCAAAGGCGAACATTCAAAGCGGTCAAAATTTGACCGATGAGGTAAAATATTTATAATTGCCATTTTAATCAATTCAATGTCACTTTTTTTTATTTATTGCATATTCTATTTGTTTTTCTTGCATATATATTTTTTTTTCTTGGTGCACCTTTAATTTGTCTATATTTTCTTGCATAATCAATTTTATTTTTGCATTTCAAAATAGTTTATATTTTCTTGCATAATAATTTTTGTTTCTTGCACTTCCAATTATTTATTTTTAATAGATGATACAAGCACAAATGTGGTTCGGTGCCATGGGGCAAGGCAAAAAAAGTTTCGTGCATTTCCATTGTTGGGAAATTGTGAAGGATTGTTCGAGATTCAAAATTATTCCCACCGGTCCGCCGGTTGTGATGAATGAGACGCCACTCCACGATTCGACATCAACCGATTCTCCATTGGACTCCCCAATGGAAACGGAGTCACCATTTGTGCCACGTCCGCCGAAACCTATTGGGAGAAAGGCGGCAAAGGCCAAGAGAGGGGGCACTTCGACCAATGAATGTGTACAATTATTGGAGCAAATAGCTAAGAGCACCTCACTAAGAATGGAGAGAGACTTGAAAAGAGATGAAATGGACATGGCACGAGAGGAAGCATTTGTTATGCAACAACAAATGGCACAAGAAAAAGACATAGAGGATAGAGAGATGAAAATCATGGCCATGGATACGAGCCATATGTCTCCCGAAACAAAGGCCTATTGGAAGCTACGACGAAGAGATGTGATGAGAAAAAAACTTTTCCATGACGACGGACCTAGCAATACGGATTGGTTAAATGATGAAAACCATTAGGTTGTATTGAAACACCTTTGCCATATGTTGTATTGTTGTATTATCCTTTAATTTGTTGTATTGTTTCCTTTTTATTCAATAAAAAAAGCATTAAATAAAATGACTATTTATTAAAAACATTTGAGCATCAAAACAAATATTAATTAAAAAAAACCTTCATTTATTGCAAACAACACACAAAACAAACCATACATAAAAGCATAATTCCAAAAAAAACCACACACAAAATAAAGCATAATAAAAAACAAAGCATAATTCCAAACAAAGCACTAATCTTGACTTCATCCATTGTGGTTGCCTTTCATTTCCCACAAGTGCTCGACCAAGTCACCTTGACGTATCTCGTGAACATATGAAGATTGCATTTCTTGATACCGATCAATCATGGGGTTGTTGAATTGACCATCCCGAAGTAAGGGTTCGGGCTCCAGTGGTAGTCCATTTGGTCCAATTGGCCTTTCATATATTCTTGTCAACGATGTGTTCATTGGATCGGGTTCAAACACCTCTTGAGCATCATAGTCATACTCATCCTCCACAATCATGTTGTGAAGGATGATGCAAGTCATCATAATACTCCGCAACACCTCCTCATCTAGCATCCGAGCAGCACCTCTAATAATTGCCCAACGAGCTTGCAAGATACCGAAACACCTCTCCACGTCTTTCCTGTAACCTTCTTGAAAGGAAGCAAAGTTTCTTTCCTTCTCGGATTGAGGATTCAGAATTGTTTTCAGAATGTCGTCCACCTAGGATAAATTCCGTCGGCAAGGTAGTACGCACCAGAGTAAACGGTATTGTTGATTTGAGGACATTGAGGTCATTCTGAGATCCGGCAACCCCGAAGAAGGCATGCTAAACCCAACAATCGAATGAAGCTACAGCCTCCAAAATTATACTTTTTTGGCCATTCCGATTCCCGTACTCCCCTTGCCAAGCAGTAGGACAGTTCTTCCACTGCCAGTGCATGCAATCGATGCTTCCAATCATTCCTGGGAAACCTCGAGCCTCGCCTTTTTGTAGAAGCCGTTGCAGGTCTCTTGGCGTGGGTTTGCGAAGGTACTCCCTCGTGTACAAATTTTCCACTGCATCACAGAATCTCACTAAGCACTCTAGGACAGTAGATTTTCCCATCCTTGCAATCTCATCCATCTGCTCTGCAGATGCCCCATAAGCAAGCATCCGCAAAGCAGCTGTAAGTTTTTGCTTTGGGATAAGACCCAAAGCTCCAACAACATCATGCTTTTGAATGAAGTATGTGTCGTAATTACAGATATCATGCATGATTTTTTGGAACAAATGTGGCTGCATTCTATATCTTTCTCGAAACTTAGAAGCAGGATATAACGAATTTGGGATAAAATAATCCTCCATGAGATTCTTACCCCGAGACTCCCTACGTCTGTCCACATTCGGGGCACGACGACAACGGTGTTGCCTTGATTGATCCATCATACACACCGCTGCTGCAAGCAGTTGTTCCTCTTCTTCATCGGCATCCCGATCTTCTTGAGCACGTCTACGCCGGATTTCTTCCCTTTGTTTATGTTGCCTCTCCAACACCCTCGACAAATTTGACATTGAGAGTAGAATGTGTTTTCTAAAATCTGAGAAATGAAGGAATAGATAAGAGATGGTGTGAGAGGTATGAGTTGATGGTGTAGTTTTATAGAGGGATTTAGAAGATAGAGATGACACGTGACACAATTTTAGAGGATGAAAATCTTATATAAAATATGAGATTATAATTTTTTTAAAATATCTGAAAATCTTATCTGACATTTGACACGTGGCACAATTGTAGAGGGTGAAAATCTTATCTGAAATATGAGATTATAATTTTTTAAAAATATCTGAAAATCTTATCTGACATTGGACACGTGGCACAATTTTAGAGGGTGAAAATTTTATCTGAAATCTGATATTATAATTTTTTTTTTCAATATCTGAAAATCGTATCTGACATGGGACACGTGGCACAATTTTAGAGGGTGAAAATCTTATCCGAAAATTTAATTACAAAAGATTATCAAAATTAATGGTTTAAAGTATAAAAAAATAGGAAATAAAGTACAATGAATAGTAATTGCCTTAGACTTACCCTAGACTTTGCTCTTGTGGGTGGAACCATAAATGCAAAGGCTGACACTATTCATGTGAATAGTGGTAGCCCTTGCCTTAGACTTAGCCCTTGTGGGTGGAGATGCTCTAAATGTAGAAGCCCGAGATATTTTATTTTGGTATGATTGACTAATCAAGCCATAATTTCGAGACTTATAATTGCTAGAAGCAAAAGCTTCGAACTTAGGTATAAGGGGTGGCTCAATATCTTTGACAACTAACCTAACCTAACCTGCACTTCCATCAATTTTTTTTAATTCAAGAGAATTCATAGTTAAACAAGTAATCTTATTTTATGTCATCTACTTAATCAGTGCACATTGTTTTTTTGTTGTTGTCCTTTTGTCAAATGATGCCAAATATGTGTTAGTTCCGTAGGAATCTTAGTTTGTGATGTATGGAGCCTTACGTAATAAGCTGCACTATTTGACTAACCAAAGACACCTCTCAAATCTTAATTAGGTTGTTTGAATTTGTGCACCTGTCTGAGATCATAAACCTGCAAACGTTTCAAGAAGTTGGTGTACAACAAATATGTGGGAGTCTTCTAGAAGAATTGGTACCAAGAGGGAGAGAAGTATTATTTGAGAACACAAAAAAGGAGATCGAGCAAGTCCTACACATGAATGAGGAGTTGGGAAAACAAGCTATGCAAACAATTCCCAACTTCAAGTTAGCACTACTACAAAATTGAGCAAAAATCACGAATGTAAGAGTACAAATACAGGTATGGTGCCCTCATCTTTAACACTGAGCACAAATAAATTTTATTCGTTCTCTTTTCGCATAAAGCGCAAATAATATGTCAAATTAATTTACATAAAGCACAAATTTACACTTGACACCTAGAATTGTGTCAAATGTCAATTAAATGTAAATAATAAGTATCATCTGACAAGTTCAAAAAAAATAAAATTATTTAATTGTCTTTATCTAACAAATGTGACATCCTGCCGTTGGTGAATCAAGCGATGAGGGCCAAGGACGGGGTGAAATTCCCTATAGCCTCTCTAGGTCCCAGAAGGGGTGGATGGCCGTGGCTTGCCACCAGCTGTCCCCCTTTTTAAAAAAGAAAGAAAAACAAATGTGACATCCGTATAACACAAAACTACATTAGTATACCTTTCTCTGACAAATACGTATGTTTTATTATTATTATTTTTATAATAGTTTAAAAAACACACGGATCTTTTCCAACCCTAGAAAATATCTAATCTAACCCTCCCCTTCTCTTCTCTATTCCCCACCTAAAAGGTTAGGAGTCAAGCCCAGTAAAGTTCTCACCTTTTTTAAACTTTCTTTCTTTCTTTGTTATAAATATTTCTGGGTTTATGATTTGCTGCAGTTTTTTGGTGAGCATGTTCTGTTTTAACTCACTCCAACCAGAACAAAGAAACATAGCAATGGAAACTCCTATAGACAACACCGTCAGCCTAATAGCGTAGTCACCTTGTTCTTTTCTTCGAATTTCAATTTCTCTTTTGAACTTTCAACTGACTCAATATCATCTTCATCAGGTGTCCCATACTATTAAATATGCTCAAGTCATGTCAGCAAGTTATCATTATTTTTGTGCCCAAATTGATGAAAGTTCAAGGGAAACATTAAAATAAGACAAAAAAGAATGGGCCTCATTCGATCTCACATTATTGGCCCTTTCGGCTCAGCTGCATGATTCATTGGTCATGGATGAACCACGTCATTAAGCTCCAAAAGATGGCCCTCGCTCTCCACCGACCACGAGTTTCACATGATGGACATGTATTGTACAATACATCCGATCCAAAAACAATTATTTTCGTAGTCCCGTGTTTCCACGTTGAAATCTCTCCGTCTCTAATATCGTTTGTATAAAGGAAAAAAGAAAAAAGAAAAGCAAGATTTAATTGTCCATTTGCAGCTACTTAATAGGAAAGGAGAGACCAGCACTTCCATCAATTTTTTAATTCAGGAATCTAATACTTAATGCTGCCAACGATGGTAGTGTACACTGTTAGACACCTAATGCTGCCAACGATGTGTTAGTTACAAAAGGAATCTAATACTTAAGACCTAGGGTATAATTAACGTTGCTGACTTATGGGGCCCTACGTAATAAGCTGCACTACTTGGTCGCCTCTCAAAAGTTGATTAGGCTGTTTGTACACTTGGTCAATCAAATCATATTTCTAGCTTATGACGTACTTAATCCCACGTAAGTTGTGTTAGATCATGCACCTCAAAACGTTAAAAGTTGTTGGTGCAACTTAGTAATTAAGAGGTACTAGTTGTGAATTGGAATTTTGATATCATGTTAAATAACCACGTACCGAGCTTTTAACTTTTTTATCAAGGTAAAAAAGTAACAAGTTAGTTGTGTTAGGTAAGCATTTTGCTATAAATATGAGGGAGTATTCCGGCAGAATAGATACGCCAAGAGAGAGAGAGAGAGAGAGAGAGAGAGAGAGATAGAGGAGTATTATTGAGAACATAAAAATGGAGGTAGAGCAAGTCCTACACATGAATGGAGGAGTTGGGAAAACAAGCTATGCAAACAATTCCCTACTTCAAGTGAGTCTCTCTCTCTCTCTCTCTCTCTCTCTCTCTCTCTCTCTCTCTCTCTCTAGCTAGTTGATTTTATATGAAGTACTTATAAGAGGAAAAGTAAATAATTTGTATATTCACCACTTAAAGGGCATGGCTCTTTCTCAAACTATTTTGCTAACCAAAACTACGCAATATATTCATGCTTTCTTAAACTTTTTATTTTCTTCAGAGAGCAGTGATTTCAACAGTGAAGCCTATAGTTGATGCAAGCATAGAGGAGCTGTGTTGCACTCTCTTCCCAGAGTGTTTGAAAATAGCAGACTTGGGATGCTCTTCGGGACCCAACACCCTTTTGGTGGTATCGGATATCATAGACAACATCCGCAACACTTTCCTAAAACTCAACCGCCCACCTCCATCACTCCAAGCCTTCTTGAATGATCTTCCCCGAAACGATTTCAACACGGTGTTCAGGTCATTGCCAGGCTTCTATAAGAAACTTGATGAAGAACCGGAAAAGAAGCTTGGGCCATGTTTCATTGCAGGAATGCCTGGCTCTTTCTATGGCAGGCTCTTCCCCGACAATTCTCTCCACTTTGTTCACTCTTCTTATGCTCTCATGTGGACCTCTGAGGTTTGAATTTGTAATCAATCATTGAGTCGTTATTAGGCATAAACTCTTCATACACCCAGTTATATATAACTCATTAGTTACACCACATGGCACGATGCTCCATTCAAACATAAAAATATCTCCATGAGAAGACTTTCTCAATCAAATAGGGATTTAAAATATATATATATATATATCTTGCAGTTTGTCTAATTTTTTAGCTTTATTGAATTGGTAAAATAATAATAATTCTAAAGTCGTGTCTGATAATTTAATCTGACAAGTGATGAGCATAAACGTGTGTATGTAGGTTCCAAAAGGCTTGGTGACCAAAGAAGGAGAGGGACTTAACAAGGGGAACATATATATAGCAAAGACAAGCCCTCCAGCTGTGTTTAAGCAATACTTGGAGCAATTCAAAAGGGACTTCACGGTCTTTCTGAGGTCACGTGCCGAAGAGCTCGTCCCTGGGGGCAGTATGGTCCTCACAACCATGGGCAGCATTAAGAGTGACGATCCCCTCTGCATTTGGGAATTTGTAGGAATGAAACTCAATGACTTGGTTTTAGAGGTAATTAAATTTTAGATCATATTTATTTCTAATAGATTTGGGACACATTATTTATTGCTAATTTGAAATGTACTTTGATGAATTTTCAGGGTTTGATTGAAGAGGAAAAATTGGACACATTCAATATGCCATACTATGCACCTACAACCAAGGAGATCGAAGAGGTGATCGAGGCTGAAGGATCTTTTATTTTGCAAAAGCTTGAAGTTTTCAAAAATGATTGGGACTCTTATGTCAAGCAAGCTAACAGTGGCCTTGATAAGAAGACAAGGGCTGCAATATTTGCCACTGACATAAGGGCTGTGGGAGAGCCGATTCTGGCTAGCCAATTTGGAGAAGCACCCATGGACGATTTGTTTAGTAGGTTTGAAGAAGATGTTCTTGATCACATGGAAAGGGAAAACTGTCAGTTCATTAACCTGGTTATCTCGTTGACAAAGAAGCGTTGAGATGAATATTCAAGAAATGGGGCTTATGTTCCATATGCTTTGTTTATGTAACGTTTGTACCTTTGAGGTCTCTTGGACTTCAGTTTATTGTTAAGAATAAAGTTGTTGACATCTGGTCATCTTTGTGTTATTCATACTTCGATTTAAAACGCGTTAAAGGAAATGGAAGCGAAGTTTCTTTGGAAAATTATCAATTTAGCTTCAGTTTTCGATTCGTAGAAAACCCAAAACCCTAACTAGCTATCTAAACTCAAATTTAAGACCCTTGAAAAAAGAAATTCATGTTCAAGATTGTTAATTA